GTGAAGTTGGAGGCCTTGCTATCAAAGTCTCTCTGACCATAGACGCTGAGTCCGTCTACAAATCTTTATCAAGCAGGGATCTCAAAATACCCACAGAACGGACTCTGCTTGGACATATCAGTTGGATACGTGAGCTTATGGATATAGGTATAGTACATAATGTGCAATGGTGTGATACTAGGGATATGACCGCAGATGGGCATACAAAGGGAAGCATCGATCGGGAACTGCTTCTGGAAGTGATGTCAGGCACTCAGTCATTTAAGTATGACGTGAAGCAATTTGTCCCCTTTCGGGGTCCCGAGGACAGAGACAAACCTAAGTTTAATCAATTTTAGTCTGTCCTTGTTGCCCTCGTGGTCCAGTTTGCCAGCACGGGCGCCTACTATAAAGGCGCCCCTCTAGTTGCTCGGAAACGAGCCTCATATTTCACGCCTGGCAACGAGCCGGCTTCATACAACTCAGGCTCTGCTGGAAAGATCATTACATCGATCTTATCCTATCTTACCCATCCACCCCTCATACTGTACCCTCACAGCAGAGCGATGGATGCTATTTGCCAGGCTATATGCCCTATTTGAGTTACCAGGCTCACTTTCGACTGGAGGGCCCTCTTGGGCCCTTCTTGGGGCCTCTCTTGGGTCCCTCTGGGAGCCCTCTTGGTGCCGCCCTGGGGCCTTCTCGGGGCCTTCTTGGAGCCTTTCTGGTGCTCTTTAAGTGGGCCCTGGGAGGTGTCACTTTCACGGGCGCTGAAAGTGACTCGTAGCGCTGCCCGTGGCCGGGGCATTGTGCAGCGCATCCCTCGTCGAACGTATTTTGTCGGACGCGTGGTCGAATTCCGCCAGTTGGGTCGAGATGGTGGTCAAGCGGTTCGGTTGCAATGTAGCCATGCGGATCTGAGCTTGCCATTTCTTGCCATTTTGGCGGGGATCGCAGGAGCGTTTGTGTTGTGATCAACTGTGCTCGATATATCCAGCGGCAGCGTTTCATCCCAATATATTATTTTAAAAGTCAGCAGGGGCCAAATTGCTGATGTGAAGCAACGTAGGTCTCGTATCCATGCGCGAACGCCATCGAGCTGCTCGCCAGCCTCGAGGTTTCCATGGCGGCGCAAATTGAAGAGTGCTGGCTTGTGGCCGAGTTTCTCCAGCCCCTTCCGCCCAAGGCGCGGCCCGCTTACTCGGCTGCGCCGGCTGACCATGTCGGTGGCGCATCCAGGCGCGAGCCTTCTGCGAAGGGTGCGAAGCGGCCTCCTTCCGCGCGGCCCGAGGGCCGTCCGAGGGCAGCGAGAACGGGTGATGATGGCGCGGGCAAGGGGAAGGACGATGCGAGCAGTGGCAGAGTTGCGAAGAGGGCCAGCAGCTGGGCGCCTTATGACCAACGAGAGTCTCGGAGGTGCCCTGTTGAGAACCCGACGCAGTGGGGGGCCCCGCAGATCTCGGGGGCAGCCTTGTCTGGATGCACGCCGACGCTGCGCCCTGCAGCAGCCCAGGATTTTCGGGATACCCCGCGGCGCTCTGATGCCGAGGCGCCAAGGCACCAAACTAGGCGCGGGCGCGACGCCGCGGAGCAACGGACCGCGGATTCTTCCACCCCTTGGCAGGACAGTGCCAGTGACTGGGTGTCATCATGGACGTGGAGCTTGGATGGCTGGAACAACGACAGCTGGGACTCGCGTGGCCGCTGGTGAGGGTGGTGAGACGAGAACGAGGAGGTGGCCAGCGACGATGTCGCCAGGCCCCCCTTCGAGTTCTCGGCGGCGACCGCTTGGGGCGGTTGAGCCGCGGCGAGGCAAGGGTGCGATGCATCTGCGTCGAATGCGCGGCGAGCCAGTCTGGGGCCAGACTGCCAGGCGCCGCGAGCGCCGACGCTTTGACTAACGCTGCGGGGCGTTGTCTAAGACAGGAACGCCCGCCTGTGCTCGTGGATCACGCCTGGCCGGCCGCGGGGGGGGTCGTTTTAGGCGACCCCCCAGGCCCATTTAGCCCCCCGCGGCGATGCTTCCGTAGCTGTGCGTGTTGGCTCTGTTTGGAACGGGCAGCGCCGCGCCCGCCGCGCGCGCGCGCCCTCCCCGGGCGCGCCCTCTCGGCCAGCCGGCCCTTTCTTATCCATAGGGTCAACCTAACCTTAACGGGCACGCGCACCGCGCTCATGGCGTGGGGGGTTACACCCCCGACTTCACATCCCCCGAGGATAACCTGAGCGAGAGACTTCAAGGATCTGGTGAAGAACGACCTATCAACATGGTTGAAGATATGCCAATGCCACCGAAGTGCTGTCAACATACTCACAGCATACCCTGTGCAGCGATGAAGTTTGCCAGGCGGTGCGACTCCACCATTGCAGTGGTCGCGCCCCCAGCTGCGGGCATGAGACCGGCCGTGGTTAGATCTGGTCGGCTTGGAATTGCAGCAGGGCCCCACATCACGTCGCAGTCTGAGCGGGCGATTCGCTCTGCCATGTCAATCACGCAATGGACAGACTGGAGTGCATATGCCCACAAGGGGTGGTGCGCCAGGCCAGTTGGAGCACGCCATCCGATCGAGTCTCTTGCGCGACGCTGCCAGATGCGCACATGCCTTGGGCAGCGCGCGCACAACTTCGCTTGCAACTGTGGGTCGCTGTGGGATGTTCAGAGCAAAGTTCGCTGGTCAGTCCGAGTCTAAGGGTGGCGGCCTCCGCGCTCTCCCGCTGTGTTGCGTGGCGGGGAGTGTTCGGTCGCATCGCCCACCTCCCGGCCCCCTGGGCCCGATTGCTCGTCAGCGAGACAATCTCGACTTGAATGAGAAGAAGGCAATGAATCAGAACGACGATAGCGCGTGCCAGGGTACCGGAGTTGTTATTACTACCGCAAGTAGGATAGCCACCACTGACCATTGGACTTATGAGTGTGGGCGAGAGCACCAAGGCTCGTACGAGTGCTCCTCCGAACGAACCTCCTGACGCCGGCCAAGAGTGGCTGTCCCGTCCCAGGCGCGCGGCTGGCTTCCACAGGGACCATTTGCATCAGCCGCGTGCGTGAGCCAGGCAGCATCGTCGCCGACGCCTCCGACTTGCCCCTGTGAGGGAAGGTTCGCTAGGCCGTGCCTTCGGGTGGACGGGCGATATTGCGTTTGTGGCAGTTCCTCAACAGCGTTCTCGGCCTTCCTGGCAGACGGAACCGAGCGAGCCAAGGAACGCGCGAAACAAGGCCACTCGCTCATCAAGCGGCAAACGGATTGTAGACGACGTCAGCGACGACATCTGTTACAACTTTTCAGGATTGGGTACGAGGGGGGCACCTGGTGCAGATGGTCGCAATTTCCATCAGCCGCGCCCACGAGCTCCCAGACAGAGATCGCCTGGCCGAGGCAGTCGCGGCTGGAACCATCGCTGGGCTTCGAGCGGCGCTCCCCGCATCGGTCTACCAGGCCACCAACGTAGAGCAATCAATCACCGAGGCTTCCACTTGGAGCACTGGCGCGGACCTTTGCGAGCTCTGCGGGGGAGAAGCCCGCGCTCCGCAGATCGCCATCCGCCTGCGCGCAGGGACCGGCGGTAGCTTTGACCTGGTGACTATCTGCGACTTGGGCGTCCATGCGGAGGCGCAGCGTTTCTTCGGGCATCTCGGCCCAATCATGTCCGCGTCGTGGTCATGGCGCCCTCTTGCCTCAGCGCGGGACCCCCTTAGTAGCGGCCTCAGCCGCGGGATCAAGTACGGGGCCTGGGCGGGCCAGTCTGGGGAGGCTTCCGCGCGCGCCATCTTCTGTGGCCAGGCGTCGATCTCCCAGATCCAGGACTGTATGTATTTCTTTATGGAGCAGTGCCGCCTTGGGGCTGAAGGCCCTCGAGGCTTCCTGGTCGAGAAGCGTTTCCTGGCCCTCGCCAACTCACTTCAGCTTCTGGCGCCTTTCAGAAACTTGACGTGCATCAGGAACCGCGACCGCGAAGTCAACTGGGGCCGTTGCCGACGCGCTGCTGCGCTGCAGGTGTAGGCCTGGTGCCTGGCTGAGCGGCATTGCAACTATTGTGGCTGCGGTGGAAAGCTGGCCAGCCCTTATGACTGAGCTCTACCTAGCCACAGGTTCTCGAGTCAGCCTCGATGCACTACGAGAGCTTGAACGCTCGGAGGCTGCTGAGCATCCGTCGCCACCGGCGTGAACGGCTACCCCTGCATCAGCAGGCAAGTCTCGAATCCTGCCGAAGCAATCGGGGCCATCAGCCCTAGCGTTTGGAAGTCAAACTCGTGCTGATGCCTCGCTGCCGGACATGCAACCGACGCACGAACTTCCAAGATGTGCCTGGGCCCACGACGTATCCATGGTATCCCAGGGACGAGTACAGTGCCACCGGAAGTGGCGTCACTGCGCGCATGCTCACTGCGCGCATGCCCGGGCTGCGCGCGCGACCCGGCGGGTTGGAAAAACGCGCTGCGGTTGGACAGGTCTGGCTTTTTTTTCCGGCTTTTTGTGCTCCGCCAGAGATGCACGATCGCCCGCGCAATCCTTGCTCGAATCCGATGTTTTTTTGCCGTCGCGTTCACGTCGGAAACTGGGACATATACATTACCAGTGGCGGGTTGTCTTTTCAATCCTACGACTTTTTAAGGGTGAGGGACGACGTCGGAGTGGTGTGGTGTATACTTTTCCCTCGTTTTCCAAGGGAAACAACGAAACATGTATACACCAGGATCCCGTATACACCAGAATCCGCGTTCCTGTGCGAATTTCCGCGCAAGGTCGGGAAAAACATCGGTGTATAGAGATCGTTTCCCTATCAAGCGCCAGCGCGAACGCACATGTCCGAGAAGGTCATAGGTATTGCACTTCCGTTGTTCATTCCCATCATCTGCCCGCGTCTCTCGCTACCCCCCCTGCAATTCCAGTACATGTTCCCTTTCTTTCTCCACCTTTCGTCGTCACCCCTCTCGCCGACGTCGCTGTCGCCGTCGCTGCCGTCGCTGCCGCCGCCGCGCCGCGGTCGGTTCCTTTGGTCGGCTCCGCTGCTCGGGCGCCGCGCAGGGCCTGCCCGAGACCGCGCGGGAGGCCGCGCTCGGGTCCATGCTGGTCGGCGGCCTGGTCCCGTGCGGCCCCCTCCCGGAGGGCTCCACCTCGGGGGGGGGAGGGGGTTCGAGTCGAGGCGCGGACCGCAGGCCGGCGGGCGACAGCCCCGACGGCCAGGGGCAACACCACGGGGCCCACCGATTGCCGATGTGAGCCCGGAGGCCCACCTTGCCCGGGGGACGCGGGGCATCGCTGTCGGGCCCGATGGCCGATCCGTCGGCGACGTGTCGCCGCGTCCAGCTCGATGTGTCCCCCCTGAGCTGGTCAGCCGGCCCCCCCTATCGTTGCCCCTCACAAGGGGTGTCGCCCGAACAATTTGTGATTCTCTCTGGCTCACAGGGGTGCGGGGGATGCTTCGTGGCTGGCCCAGGCAGGTTCGAGTGTTAAGGTTTTGGGACGTGCGTCTGCTGTCTGGCTCCCTTTGGGGCCGCGTCGGGATGCTGTCTCTCGTTGCCACGGCCAGATCTGCTTCGGGCTTCTGGTCGGAGCGCAAGCGGGGCCCGCTGGGGCCCCCACCAGGGCCCCCTCCCTCGTGCCGACGCTCGAGGCAGGTGCTTCAGAGTTGCGGACGACGATCAATGGAGAGGAACCATAAATGATCCCCAGATGTCTAAAACACGTTTTAAACATGCCTTAACTACATGCCAAACCATGTTAGAAGCATTTTTAGAACAGTTTGCGACATGTCAAAAACATGTAGTATTCAGTGATAGGGTTGTTAGGAGCGTGTTTCTTTGTTGCTTTGGGCATAATGGGCATTATAGCCCGCCGCCCCTTCCCCCTATAACGTAACGCCCCTCCCCCCCCAGTGCGCTCCGGGCACTGCCGCCGTGCGCGCACTGCGGGGGGGAGGCGTTACATTATACCCCCCCCTGGCCCCCCCTCCTATAATGCCCACTATCGCCGAAAACAAAGAAGCGCGCGCTAGGGTGTCCACTGTCACGGCATCCACAACTTCAGAGGGCCGAGGTCTGGGCGAGACGAACGTGGGCGGCGGCCGACCTCAGATCAGATCCTGTCCACTTCGCTCTAAGCTCAGGAGGGCAACATAGGCACAGACACAAATCATCGCCGATTCCCAGGAACACGTGTGAACATTTTGGCAGGTGGAGGGGAAGGCGAAAGTCAAGAACATGTGCGTACGCATGGGGCATCCTGGGATTTGTGTCCATCTAGTTGTGTGTCCCTGGGCCCCCTCATAAGCAGGGATTTCTGTCGGTCTTGTTGGGGCACCAGGTCCGTTTGTGATGAGATTTGCTTGCCTAGCCGCCACCGCTGGGAGCATCGCTCGCTTTCCCAACCGCGGCCGCTTGCACTTTTGGGTGGCGTGTACTGCTTGGCTTAAGTCGGGCATGTCCCCTCTACAGGAGGAGTATTCAAAAATAGTCAAACAATAGTCTGGGGACGATTGTTTGAGCATTGTTGATCATTTTGTTGTACTCTTTGAGTATTTTTCAATTTCGGCCAAAATCCGCCTGCAGGGGGACATGCCCGACCTGATGCTGGGCGCAGCTTGCCCCCCACTGTTTCCGTTCCCCCTTCGGGAGTGTCAAGGGGCCTTTCTCCACCTGCTGCCGTTCCCTCTGCCGCTGCTCCTCCTCCTCGTTCTCCTCGAATGCTCGGACATCGGCGCCTCGATCACTCCTGCTCGTCCTTTGTTTGCCTCTCGTCATTGCCCTAGTCCTCGTCCTCGTCCTCGTCGTCGTCCTTCCTCGAATCGGCCTCAGGACCTGTCCTAGAGCTCGTTCTGACAAGTATTTCGAGAAGTATCCAGCCGTGCGTCGCGACGAGGACGCCCCTGGAGGCCAAAGGTGGCAGAACAGAAAATCAGAGAGCCTCGATTCTCCTTTCCCTTCTTCTGTCTGCCTCGCTGTTCTCCTCGCTGTCTTCCTCCTTGTCTTCCTCCCTTTTCTCCTTCCCCTCCGCCCTCCACTCCGCTCTCTCCCCATGTCCCCCTTCTCTGTTCTGCTCCTCCTCTTCCTCATCCTCTGTCCTCCTGTGCCTCCTCCTTGAACGCTGCTCTCCTCTCTCCCCTGGCTCTGTCTGGAAGACTATCGGCCCTCTCCGCGTATTGCTTTTACACACTTGATTTCAACACGTTTCTATACGACCGTTTTCGGTTGGTGTTTCGGCCCCGCCCCCCGCGCCTGCGTTCGCAGGCGCTGCCGAGGGGATCAAGCTTCTCATTTCAGGATCGGCTCTTCGCTCCCGTCGTTCAGAGTGGCGCTCTCGCCCCAGCGCGGGCCACTTGTGTGGATACGATTCTTCATCGTTGTCGCCCCCCTCGATTCTCCTCCTCCGCTTTCCCCTGGTCCGCCTGCTCCTGCCGCTTGAGTTCCCGCTGTTCCTGTTCGTCCTCGTCGTCCTCCTCCTCCTCCGTCCTCATCCTTCTCCTTCTCCTCCTGCTAATCCTCCTGCTCATCTGCCACTTCCTTCCCCCTTTCCTCCTAATTACGCAGCTTCATGTTTCCGATTGCGCATAACACGATGGGGTCGTTTGCAGAGTCTCTGGCCCGCCATGACACGCACTCGCGGACAGAACAACAATCAGCGCAATGGGAAGGGGTTGGTGGGAGGGTCAGGATGCCAGATGTAGTGCGAGCGCACCTACTTAGCTTGTCTGCGCGGCGACGCCTGCCATGTGAGCGCCCTCTCCTCCCCTCCTCCCGCCCCGCGGCCGCTTCCGCTTGTCTTTTCCTCCTCCTGCCGCTGGTTGATTTGCGCTTTCCGTTGTCCAGACCGCCCGAGCGCGCGTGCGGACTGCCACTGCCGCGCTGCGACGCAAAAGTAGTGTCTCTCCTCCTCGGTCCAGTCTCCTCTCTCCTCTCTTCTCCTCCCTCACCCTCTCTCCTCCTCCCTCTCTCTTCCGTTCTCCTCTCTCCTCGTCTTTCCTCCTCTCTCCTTCCCTCCTCTCTCCTCTCCCTCCTCTCTTCCTCTCCTCCTCTCGCCTCCTCCCTCCTCTCCTCCTCTCCCTCCTCTCTCCTCTCCTCCTCTCGCCTCCTCCCTCCTCCGTTCCCCTGTCTGGAGCCCTCCGGCCCTCGACTCCGCCGTGAGCCTCGCCCTGGAGCTCGAGTCGCTCGCGTGGCGCCCGCCCAGCGCGGCGGACAGCCCGCTCCAAGGCCCGACGGGCCCGAAAAAGACTCCAGGCCTGGCGCCGAGCCGAGACCCCGCCGCGTTGTGACAAAGTTCATGGCGGAGTTGCAGTGGCGACCCATACCAAGCAACACCCCGCTTGCCTCCAGGGTGCCCTGGGCTTCTTGGGTTTCGATTGTTCTGCGATGGAAAGCGTTACGCTCCCACGCCAAAAATCAAAGGACGTCCTGGGGTCTCAGGGTTGGGTTTCTTGTGGAAGGGTTCTTGTGGACTGGTCCCCACTGTAGTCGGTCGTTTTTTGTCTGAGCTGGTTCAATTTTCGCTCTTGAAGAAAAGTTATTGTTGATCCCCACCCCACCGGTGCACAGTGTGTTTTTCCGTTTGAAGTGCCCCGCCTCGGGGCTCGCGCCCTGTTTTTAATCCGGGAAGGTTTTCCCGCTCAAGCTGCGTTGTTGTCCCCCCCCCGGATACAACATTAACAACGGCTCCCGCCTGATATTTCTTCACAAGTCATTCCAACAACATCGTGTTCTCGCACGGGACTTCCTGACAATGTATGTAGGAATCGCTCTCTCTCGCGTGCGATTTCCTCGCAATTTATTCGAATGCCGCGCCCTCGAGGAGGCGAAGGAGGCGGAGGAGGAGGAGGAGGAGGAGGAGGAGGAGGAGGAGGAGGAGGATTGGTTGGAGGAGGAGCAGGAGCAGGAGCAGGAGCAGGAGCAGGATGATGATGATGATGATGATGATGATGATGATGATGATGATGATGATGATGATGATGATGATGATGATGATGATGATGATGATGATGATGATGATGATGATGATGATGATGATGATGATGATGATGATGATGATGATGATGATGATGATGATGATGATGAGGATGAGGATGAGGATGAGGATGAGGATGAGGATGAGGATGATGATGATGACGATGACGATGACGATGATGATGATGATGATGATGATGATGATGATGATGATGATGATGATGATGATGATGATGATGATGATGATGATGATGATGATGATGATGATGAGGAGGAGGAGAGGAGAGGAGGAGGAGGAGGAGGAGGAGGAGGAGGGGAGGATGAGGAGGAGAGGGGGGAGGCGGAGGAGGAGGAGGAGAGGAGGAGGAGGAGGACGAGGAGGAGGAGGAGGAGGATGAGGGGTTGGAGGAGCAGGAGGAGTTGGAGGAGGAGTTGGAGGAGGAGGAGGAGGAGGAGGAGGAGGACGAGGAGGAGGAGGACCCGTGCGCGCGTGCGCACGCAAGCTGAGAGAAGCGGCGCTTCCCGTTCTTGTCCAAATAGGTTTCTGGTGGGGGGGGTCTGGTTTTTTCATTGCGATTTCGCCCCACACCTCCGATCCATGCCCTCGTGGCCTGGAAACCGAGGTGCGATGCCATGGATGCGCTCCGCAATGCATCCAAGGGGTCGCGGCCGAGGAGACCGAAGTGCGAGGGCGTGAATGTGGATATGTTTCCCGCCCGTGAGAGGGGGAGCGGGTCGAAATGGGGACGAATCGAACGAGGACGATGGGTGACAACAGCCTATTGTAATGACTTCTGGCCAGTGCCGCCGATCCGGGGGACTCCGGTTTCGGTGATCTTGGAGTCGTCGGGGACGCTGTTTGGGAGGGAGGGCGCTCTTGGAGTCGTCAGGGACGCTTTGTGGAGCTGACGTGCCCTTTGGGGGGAGGGGCCTGGAGCGGTCTCGGGGAGGGGGGTCCGGGGAGGGTTCCAATTGGAGGGTCTTGGGGGCGGTAGCGGCTAGATCTGAGGGGGGTCCCTGGGACCCCCCGAAACATTTTGGGGGATGCGCAAATCATTAAGAAAACGCCAGATGGGGGGGGTCCTTGGTACCCTCCGAAACATCTTGGGGATGCGCGAATCATTGAGAAAACGCCAGATGGAGGACCCCCCCCTCCCCCCCTTCCCCAGCGGAGCCACCCCGGCGACACCCCCCCAAGCAGAGCTGAAGCTCTTGCTGAGGCTCCTTGTAGTTCACACGCCGGATCGGCGCATTTGTTTTGGACAGGGTTGGCTGCCGGTTTCGAGGCGAACGCTGTCTACCTACCTGATGGCGACCGTCGCATGCCCAACAGCAGCCGCCGTTTGGTCCTGACAACGCTTGCACTCCGACTTAGCATTGCCCCTCAGGCGAGCGAACATCTCCATGCGGGCAGAAATGTACCCCCCCCTCCACCACACCTCCCTCCCCTTCCCTCCCATTCCCTTTCCAACTTCTCTTCCACCTTATCATGCCTCCTCCTCCTCCTCCTCCTCCTCGTCTTCCATCTCCTCCTGTATCCTCTTGTATCCTCCTCGCCCTCCTACTCCTCGTCCTCACCAGCAGTCTTGCTCTGAGTCCCCGTCTTCCTCCCCATCCCCGGTGACCAGGCCCGCTCCCCTCGTCCCCTCCTCCCCTTCCCTTCTGCCTTCGTCTCCAGGCGGGCTGGTGAGCAGCCCCTCAGACGCCTGGCCCTCGACCCTGGGCACCCTGTTCCTCGCCCTGGAGCCAGTCGGGGCCGATTGGAGCACGTCGTTCAGCGACAGCGACGTGGAATGCCGAAAGGTGGCGCGGCGCCCAGGGCAGAAACCCCAACCCTCTAGTTCCGACCGCGCCTTGCCTGCTTTCCCGCCTTTCCCCCTCTCTTCAGACCTCCCTCGCCGCCTTCTCCTCCTGCGTACCTCCTCCCTCCTGTCTACGCCTCCGCCTCCTCAGCTTGCTGCCTCCTGCTTCCTCTCTCGTGCTTCCCTTCCCGCACCCCCCGAGCGGCAATGGGGGCGGCTGTGTAGCCCCCGAGAGGGCCGCAACGGCGTCTGGCGCCCTTTCTGTGGTAGGTGCAAGGACGGCCCCCAGGCTCACAAAGGGGCTTCGGGACGGTTCCAAGAGGGCCCGAAGAGGCTTTCAGAAGAGGGGCCCCAGGAACCACCCCAAAGTAGAGCGGGCGGAGCGAGTGCACTGACCCCCACCCCTGGGAAGCTCACGGGCACCCCACTGGAATCCCCGAGGGGGGGAGGCCTTTGGACTCGGTCAGGGCACCTCTCCGGGCGTCCCCTGCGGTCCCGGAGGGGGACGGCGGGGAACGGAAGGGGGGGGCGGTCCCTGGCACCACCCTGGAGGAACAGGGCCCCCTTCTGGGGGCGGGTGGAAACCAGGAGGCCCTGTCCCTCCTCCCTCCTTCCGCTTCCCTCCCTTCCCTCTTCTCAGCCCCCCTGCTGCAGTCGGACCGAGGTTATAAGATCGAGGTCGGTTCGGGAAGGGTACCCTGGTATACAGTCGACTGTTCTCCAGTTTGGCTGGCAGAGGGCCTCATGTTCTTGAAGTTCGTTCTTCTGTCCCAGGTGTGGCCGTACCGTATCCTCCTCTGTGGCGCCGCGTCGCCTACATGCCTCCGACCAGCCAAGGATCTTCCGAGAGTGGAGCCCTAGACCGCTGGATCAGAGCTGGAGTGATTCCCAGTCCCCGCCGAAGGATTTGGAATCTAATCCAGAAGTAAGGCCGAAACCTCTAAGTGGGACCACTGGATGCGTATCTCCTCATGGGCTAGTTCTTCACGGCCGCTGGCATGAATGAGGGGCCTATGTGCACCACTCTTCCACTGGTGTTAGCAGGTGGCCGGTCGTGTTCCGCCTGGCCTTGCCCCAGATTTTCAAGATGTGGCTTGCTATCGGCCACCTACTTGAATCTGACTCTTGGCAGTTGCGCAGTCTCCAGTATTTCTTTGAGGGACGCCTCATTGTTGAACATGGTTTCGGTCACCGTTTTAGGCTGTAGCGAGCTTAGTAATCCTCTCTCCCTTTTTCCTCCTGGCTTCCTCCTTCTCTTCTTGCTCCTCGTTCCTCACTCCTCTTTCCTCTCTCCTCCCCACTCCTCACTCCCATTTCCCCTCCACACTCCCACTCTTTACTCCTTACTCTTCACTCCTCCCTCCGTCTCCCTCCTGTCTCCTCTCTCCCTCTTCCCTCATCGCTCCTGGCTTTGCCCTCTTCTTCTCCTTCCTTGCTTCTGCCGCCTTCTCCCCTCGTCCGCTCCTTCTCCTCCCTGTCCTCTTTTTTGTTATCTCTGTTCTCCTTTCTGCTCCGCACTCCATCTTCCTCTTGCTCCGGTTCTCTGTCCTTCGCCTCTGCCACCTCTTTTGCCTCCTGCTCCTCCTCCTCCTCCTCCTCCTCCTCCTCCATCCTTGTCCTCGTCCTCTTCCCCTTCATCTTCCTCCTGCGCGACGCTCTGAATCTTTGGCAGACCTTCCCTTCCTGTTGCCTCCTCCTCTCCCTTCTCCTTCTCCTCCGTCTCCTCCTTCTCCTCCGTCTCCTCTGTCTGCTCCTCCTCCTCCTCCTCCTTCTCCTCCTCCTCTCAGGGCCGCCCCATTCTCCACGCGGGGGGGGGGGGGCCATGCGTGCGTGTTAGAGGACAGGAAGCCCTGGTCAGACCAAGAAGGGGGGCTTTCCCCAGGGATGGTGGGGGACTTTCCTCTCGAGGGAAACCCGTGACCACTCCTCGATCGCCCCCTCCTCCCTGGTCTCGTCAGGATCTCCTTGTTCCTCGGCGCGTGCGTCCGAAGCCCCCGCGCAGGGGGGCGGGCTCGACGAGAACGAGGCCTGGAGCACGCCAGACTTCGACGAGGAGTTCGAGTGAGGGGCAGCTCCGTTCAGCTGGCCAGGCATGCGTGAGGTTGTTGCTTAGAAGGGGGAGGATAAGCAGGAGGATGCGGAGGATGCGGAGAAGGAGGAGGAGGAGGAGGAGGAGGAGGAGGAGGAGGAGGAGGGGGAGGAGGGGGATGGTGAGGAGGGGGAGGAGGAGGAGGTGGGGAGCAGCAGCAGCGGCAGGATGAGGATGCATATGAGGCAGATGAGCAGAACGTACCCACTGTTGGGCTCAAGGATGCGGCCCGCTTGGCAAACCCTCAGAGTGCTAAACGAACGGGGGAGTTCCGAATCATGACCCCAGATTTGGAGAAGGTGCAAAACCCACAGACCTGTCCAGGAGGAGGAGGTCGGGGAGGAGGAGGAGGATGAGGAGGAGTAGGAGGAGTCAGCAGGATGATATGTGGGCGCCAATCGAGCCCGCAGCGAGAGTCTCGTTCTCCCCGGCCATCATCATATATACTTGTCGTCTCCGTGTGCCGCGAAGAGAGCATGGTGTTGCTGGGTCTGGTCCGGTAGGGATTCGCGGGGCCACTCCCCCCTACCTCCCAGCTGGCCAACCGAGCCCTCTTCCCTGGCAGCCCTGCAAAACCAAGTTCGCCTAACCACGGCGAAAGCCACCCTTGCCTCGAGCTTCTCTCGCCCGTTGGGGGCCAGCCGTATTATTGACGCCTCGCGTATCTTTTCCAGTCATCAGACGAGTTGCCTCCAGAAGGGCCGCGGATGAAATCATAGAGCCGAGAGGAGTGACGCCTGTCGAAGCAAAGCTAGTCTCAGCCCGAGCAGCCCCCCAGCAACTGTCAAATTGGGGTGCGCTGGGGGGGCCTTTCGGAGGCCTCTCTCGCGGCCCTCTCGGTGATCTTTCGGGGGCTCCTTGTGGTAAATTGCACCTCCTCAGGGTGGGCATATATGTGGAGCACTATATGTTGTGCAACTTATATTATACCGATGGTTTGATGCAATCTACGTTGTGCAATATGTGGGGCAATATATCTGGTGCAGCATCGGTTGTGCAATCCATGTGGTGCAAAATATGCGGTACAACCTATTTTGTGTAATATTAGTTGTGCCATTGATGTCCTGAAATCTAGGTTGTGCCTGTAATTTTGATACCGTGGAATTGTCAACTCTACCGCTCGCGCCATCATCTCACCCGCCCACCCGTAACATGGTTTGCAACACCCATGCGGCGGCGATTGCGATGGGTGCTTAGTGCTTGCTGGCGCAACTCTGCTGCCGTGCTTGCGCGCGCGCACAGCGACCAGTTCGTTCGCCGCAACCGACGCGGTGCGGGTGGCGCACCGATGGGTACATCCCAGCGCGTCTTGCAGGCCGCGTTGTCGCGCGGGCACTTCAGTGTGAGTCGGTGATTCGGGCGGGCGCGGTATCATGGCGACGCCGACAAGGGCAGAGTCGATGATGACAGTAGCGGTGATGGTGTCGGTGATAACGATGACAACGGCAAGGCCGATGATGGTGCCGATGCCGATCGCGCTGATGACGGTGATGGTATCCACGCGTCGGTGATGAAGGTTTTGGAAGGACTTCGACATGTGCGCGCGGCCGACGCGTTCGAATGTCCAGGATGCTGTTATTTGACAGGGCTCGCGCCTCCCCGCCAGCAAGCGGTGCGTTCGATGATTTCGAATTGCGCGGGCTAGAGGCCCGCTCGGTCGTAGTTGATGGACATGCCGAAATCGAATTAACAAAAGCGCGCATTTTTCAAGCACCATGTTCAAACGCTATTCATGGTTGGCCGTATTTGTCTCGCATGTTTCCGTGAGCCTCGATCTTGGCACCCTTACGACGCCCATGGTGTTTGTTCGACGAATTTGGGCATGTGCGCGCGGCGCCGCGTGTCTGCGGATATGTATCGTTTTCGCAGTGCATTTTTTGCAACGAATTCGGGCATCCTGATAAACGTGTGCGTGCGCACATCATTCACTGACAGGGGTGCGGGGGGGATCAGCTTTGGGATGGTCCGACTCCGTTTTTAGCATTCGTGATGGAGCAGCACCGTATATGTATGTTTAGCCTGCTAAACCAAACCTTGTATAGAAACGACGCGTTGTGTGATTCCCTATAGCTAGTGGCCTTCTGCCCATCCTGCCACCGTGCCTGGGTTGTGGGTATACAGCGTATCAGATTTTTTTTGTGGTCTCGTGGGGGGGGGCTCTCGGGGGCCGTTTTGGGGCCTCTTGGGGCCTCTGTTGGGCCTCTTGGGGCCCCCTTGGGGGCCTCTTGGGGCCTCTTGGGGGCCTCTTGGGGTGCCGCTCGGGGCCTCTTGTGCGACTGTTGGGGTCTCCTGGGGGGCTCTTGGGGCAGAAGGGTCGGGTTTTCGATTCGTGTTCCCACTCTGGAGCCCCTTGTGGGGACGTCTTGGGGCCCTCTTGGGCCGTCTTGGGCGCCTCCTGGGCCGTCTTTGGGCGCTCCTGGGCCCTCTTGGAGGCCTCTTCTTGGGGTGGTCTACGGGACCGTCTTGGAGCGTCGGGAAGCAGAAACGGCGAGTGAGGGGGAGGGAGGAAATCGGAGGCAGAGGGGGAGGATGATGGCCATGATGTTCGTGATGTTGCTGATGATGCTGGTGATGATGATGATGATGATGATGATGATGATGATGATGATGGTGGTGATGGTGATGATGGCGACGATGATGATGCTGATGCCGATGCAGATGCTGATGCTGCTGATGTTGATGATGATGCTGATACTGATGCTGCTGCTGCTGATAATGATCATGCTGATGGTGGTGATGATGCTGTTGATGATGTTGATGCTGGTGCTGGTGATGGTGATTGTGATGATGGCCATGATGATGCTGCTGATGATGATGATGATTCTGATAATGATAATGGTGGTTGTGGTGGTGGTGATGATGTTGCTGCTGATGATGCTGCTGCTGGTAATTCTGAGAATGAAGACGATGATGCTGATGATGATGCTGATGATCATGCAGACGATCATCATGATGATGCTGATGATTCTGCTGATGATGCTGATGCTGATGATGATGATGATGATGATGATGATGATGATGCTGATGATGATGATGGTGATGGTGATGGTGATGGTGATGCTAATGATGATGGTGATGATGAGGAGGAGGAAGAAGAGGGGGATGAGGAGGAGGAGGAGGAGAGGAAGAGTAGGAAAAGGACGACGCCTAGTATGAGGAGGACGGACGAGATGGGAGGGTAGTAGGAGGAGGAGGAGGAGGAGGAGGAGGAGGAGGAGGAGGAGGAGGAAGAGGGGTGGTGGAGAATGGGGAGCATGGGCAGGATGAGGGGGGAGGAGAGGAGGACGGAGGAGGTGGGAAGATGAGCATCGGCAGAATGTTTCCGCCTTCCCCAGCGAAGCGGGCCTCAGGATGGCACTGCCTGCACGCAATGCGCGTGCCATCGATATGGCACGCCCTGATGGGGTGTTGTGTGATGTAGAGCGTCCCTGACATCTGTACGATGTGAACAAACACTGCAGGCATATTGTCCAGTTTCGCACCTGGGGGTTCTCATGTATCCTTGTGGCTTGAGGGAATCCGACTGCGGATGCGGTTTTTGCTTTCCCGACGTCGGATGTCAGTGCATGTGATATCGGGCGACGAGATCTATACGTATTCACTGCTCCTGGCCATCATTTTGGATCCGTGAGCGGCGTACATGCCTCTTTGGCCAGGCCAGGCGCTCGTATACACCGCTCCTGGTTTCAGGATGGGCCCGGTCAGGGGCAGGGGATAGGTATAGTTACCGTTTTTTTGTGACAGAGCGTGTTCGGTGCAATTTCCATGCAGACGTCTGCGCAACTGGGGAACCTGTTTGGGCGAATCGAGATGCCGAGGAGTCCGTCCTCCATTCTGCCCTGCAGGCTTCTCTGGCTCGCGGGGCCCTTGCTCTTTCATACTCGTCTTCAGCTGGCCGTGTCTTGAGCCTGCTGCTGCGGGTATTTCTGCAACGCTGCCCTTCGTGAGGCAGAGCACTGTTCACCCGCAGTGCGAACTGCCTGGCGGCTGCTATATCTACGCGGCCCTGCCGACCGAGTCAATTGAGCAGGCGTTGCCCCTTGCGATTGTTCGGAACTAGGATTGTATTCTTGTGCTGCGCCGTGTGGAAGACGACCCTGACAGGGTTGAACACCACCGGTCGGCGCCAACGGATTTTGGCCGTTTGCATGCTTCGTAGATCCACGCCTCCTAGATGAGGGTGGAGTGTCCAGGTGCCTGCGGCAACTCCCGCCACCGTGCCAGTCCACCGCCACCGTGTATTGCTCGATTGGGCACGCCTGACCGTCACATGTGACACCTCGTGTCCCCAAGCTCTGAGGAGCCGTGATGACAGTCACGAGGATACTCATGATTACGATGGTGATGCTGTTGAGGATGGTGATGATGACGCTACTGATGATGCTGATGGCAATACTGGTGATAATAGTTGTGGTGATGACGACGATGCAGCTGGCGATAATAATAATGATGACGATGATGATGCTGATGATGATGCTGCTGATGATGCTGATGACGATACTGATGGTGACGATTGCGACTATGTATATGACGACGGTGCCGACGACGACGCTGCTGCTGTTGCTGTTAATGATGATGATGATGCTGATGTTTATGCCGATGCTGATGTCGATGATGATGCTGCTGATGATGCTGTCGATGATGACTACGAAGATCACGATCATGATGATGATAATGATGGTGATGGTGGTGGTGGTGGTGATGATGATGATGAAGACGATGATGCTGATGATGGTGATTGTGATGACGATGATGATGATGCTGATGCTGATGCTGATGATGATGATACTGACGACGATGGCGATGTTAAATATGACGACGGCGGCGACGACGATGACGCTGCTGTTGCTGATGCCGACGAGACTGATGATGACGTTGATACTGATGCTGGTGAGGCTGATGATGGCGACGATGATGCTGATGGCGACGCTGCTGATGATGACAATGCTTATAATTACGACGATGCTGATGGTGATGGTGCTGATGATGATGCTGATGGGGATGATGATGATGATGATGATGATGATGATGATGATGACGATGATGATGATGATGATGCTGATGCTGATGCTGATGATGATGATGATGATGATGATGATGTGCTGATTGCGATGCTGCTGATTACGATGCTGCTGTTAATGATGAAGACGATGCTAATGATGATGATGCTGATGATTATGAAGACGATGATTCCGACGATGATGTCGACGACGATGATGACGTCGATGATGACGATGATGGTGCTGATGATGATGATGATGATGATGATGATGATGATGATGATGATGATGATGATGCTGATGATGATGATGATGATGATGATGATGATGATGATTTCGGCGACGACGATGATGATGTTGATGCTGAGGAGGAGGAGGAGGAGGAGGAGGAGGAGGATAAGGGGTAGCAGGAGGAGGGGGAGGAGGAGGAGGAGGAGGATGAGGATTATGCGGAGGGTAACGACGACAGCGATGCTGCTGGTGATGATAGTGATCATGATTATGCTGATAGTGATGATTTTGATGACAGTCACTCTGACGATGCTGATGCGGATGCTGCTGATGCTGATGATGATGATGATGATGGTGGTGGTGGTGCTGATGATCGTAGCGATGAATCTGAATTTGATGATGCAGATGAATATGGTGCTGATGGTGTTGATGCTGATGTCGACGATGATGGTGAGTGTCATCATGATGATGCTGATGCTGATGGTGATGATGATGAGGTTGAGCATGCCGATGACGCAGCTGACATTGATGAGGAGGAGAATGATGCGGACGATGGTGCTGTTGATGATGATGATGATGATGATGATGATGATGCTGCTACTGCTGATGATGACGATGATGATAATGCTGTTGATGACGATTTTGACAATGCTGATGCTGCTGCTGATGCTGACGACGATGATGATGCTGATGATGCTGATACGGATGCTTATGATGATGATGCTGATGATGATGATGATGATGATGATGATGATGATGATGATGATGTTGAATCTGATAATGTTGATGATGCTGATGCTGATCAGTGATTCTGAGGATGAGGGTTATGCTGCTGATGATGCAGCTGATGCTGCTGCTACTGTTGATGTTGTTGATGATGATGCTGCTGCTGACGATGATGATGATGATGATGATGATGATGATGGTGATGCTGCGTCTGATGATGATGATGATGATGATGAAGATACCGAGGGCGATGCTGCTGATGACGATGACAGTGGTGGTGAAGGTACTGGTGCTGATGCTGCTGCTGATGATGATGTTGCTGATGGGGATGCTTATGATGATGATGATGCTGATGATGATGATGATGCTGATGCTGGTGGTGATGATGATGATGATGATGCTGCTACGAGGATGATGCTGACGCGGATGATGTTTATGATGCTGATTACGATGCTGCTGTTAATGTTGAAGATGTTGAAGATGATGATGATGATGATGATGATGATGACGATGATGATGATCATTGTGATTATGATGATGCTGGCGATTATGGTTATATGCTGATGATAATGATGATTGTGCTGATGACGACGACTATGATGTTGCTGCTGCTGATGATGATGATGATTATGATGATGATGATGATGATGATGCTGAGGAGGATGATGATTCTGGTGCTGCTGCTGATGATGCTGCTGAAGATGCTGCTGCTGATGATGCTGCTGCTGTTGATGATGCTGATGATGCTGATGACGTGGTGGTTGCGGTGATGATGTTGGTGATGGTGGGGTTTGTGATGGTTGTGTTGGTGGTGGTGGTGTTGATGTGGAAGAGGAGGAGGCGGTGGAGGAGGCCGAAGAGGAGGAGGAGGAGGAGGAGGAGGAAGTGGGAACTGAGGCGAAGGAGGCGGAGGAGGAGGAGGCGGAAGACACCTAACCACATGCCCAGGATAATAAAGTACCCCCCCCCTTAAGTCGTTCGAGTTTTTTATCGTCGACCAATAAGAGTTTGGTCGGGGGCGCGGGGGCGCGGAGGCCGAACTTCATTATCATTGGGTTAGTTCGCCATCGAAGTTACTTCATTTTCATGCTGAGATACCAACATCAAGCGAAGCGAACACGTTTTTTCTTTGTGTTGTTTTCTGTTTCTCTCTTTCTCTCTTTTTCTTTGTGTTGCTTTCTGTTTCTCTTTCTCTCTCTGTCTCTCTCTCTCTGTCTTTCTTTCTCCTCCTCCCTCTGGCGCCCTGAACTTGTTTATCGCTGGGGTTGATTATCCTGGGAAAACTAAGCACATGAGCTACCCATACACGAGCAGATGAAAATTTTAATTTCCATTAAGCGTTTACACATTAAATTTAATAAGTCTTTAACTTTGGATTTTTGCTTCTACCTCCTTCTCTGCTTCTCCTGCTCTTCCTCCTTCTCATCCTTCTCCTCTTCCTTTTCTTCTTTATTTATAGTTCTCTTTCTATTTCTTTTTCTTCTTGTCTCCCTGCCCCCCTGAACTTGACAAATATTTCGAGGATGTCTCAAGCGAAACAAGCAATTCGTTGAGGATGTCTCAACCGAGACAAATCATTGTTGATGATGTCTCATAGAGGACCAAAGACCAAGGATTCTCAAGATATCTTTGGCTTTTTCCTCTTGATATCTCTTTATGCTGGCTCTGGCGGGCAACTTTTATTACCCCCCCGAAAACCCCGAACTATATTATCCCTTCGGGTTTATTATCCGCAGCAAGGGGTTAATCGTCAGGCCAAGAAGACGAACACGTAAACGAATAAGGAGAACAACATGACTGTACAGACAAAACAATGATGATAAAGAGGATGGCCGTCACATGCGACACCTTTCGTTCCCACTTCTTGAGGAGCTCTCATTCAGCTCATATGGGCCGTCTTGTGGCTGTCAACGGCTCTTTTGGGGCAGTCTTGGGGTTCCCTTGGGGCTTTGGGCCGTCTCGGGGCCCTCTTGGGCCGTCTCGGGACTCTCCTAGGGCGTTTTGTCTTGGGGCCGTCTTGGTTCTCTCTTAGGCCGTCTTGGGGCCTTCTTGGCGCAGTCTTAGGCTGTCGAAGGGCCTTCTAAGGCCGTCTTGGGTCTCTTCGGACGTCCCTCTAGGTCGTCTTGCGGCTGTATTGGAGGCCTCTTTGGCCATCGTGGGGGCCTCGAATATACCGGGAGCTTGTTTTGCTGTTTTGGGGAACATTTGGAGGGTCCTTGGGCCGTCTTGAGCTGACGGAGGCACGGGAATATGAGAATGCGCTTATTCAACACCGCAGGGAATTACAAAGATGATTCAGGCACCTTCGGATCCTGCTGGGGGTCCTCTTGTGGCCCTCTTGGGCCTTCTGGAGGCGTATTCGGCTGTCTTGAGGCCATTTGGGGCCGCATTGGGACCATCTTGTGCCGTCCTGGACGCCTCTTGGGTTTTCTTGGCGGCCTTGGTTGCGTCTTAGATGCACGGGAACGCTGATCAATTTGTTTCCCGCGGGATCGTGGCTTCGGGAGCGCCGATCCGTTCTTCTGTGAGAGGGCTTGGGGGGACGGTGCGCGCAGTTTGATGCCAGTAGAGCGGGGGGGGGCTTCGAAGACTACAGCAGCCCTGCCAGACAGCACTTGGCATTCTACCACGTCTCACCGCACCAGGGGGCACGGTGGCGGAAATCAGGCCCCACGTCGCTCCGCATTGCCGACTCGGTGGCGAGGTGGAACCCGATTTTTTGTCCCAACATTGCCAGTGCATCGGCAGTGCAGTGCGACCTTGTGACCCCGTGTACGGTCAAGACCAGCACTGATGATGCAGTGACTCATCAAAGCTACCTTTGCATCCTTTGCATCCTTTGGCAGCCTGACGCCGCTGCCTTGGTCTGGAAATGGACGCCTTGCATACTCACCTGGCATCCTTACTGCTGGTTCTGACCGTGTTCTGGCTTGGTCTAGGAGGCCTCTGGGGTAGGTAGTGTCACCGAGTCTCGCCTGCCAAGCACCGTTACCTCGGTTTTCGACAGGAGGATACCGGGAGAGGGCATTGGGCTCTGAGGTATCGGTGGCATGGTCGCAGAGGAGAAGGAGGAGGAGGAGGAGGAGGAGGAGGAGGAGGACCAGTGTAAACCCAGGAGTCATCAACGATGTTGGAATACACCCTCCCTCCAAGCTCCCTCTTCATAGGCCCCCATCAGGGTCCATGTCCACTGAAGGAACTGCCTCGTTGGAAGACCACCCTTTGAAGACCCGGAAGCATGCTAAACCATTGTTCTCGGGATTTCAACGCCACGGATCAACCTGATTGTTGCATTTTACCCATCCTGAATCATGCCAGAATGCCATTCCTGGGAC